ATTGTATGTTTGGATGGGACCGCGGTGGCTGGCTGGCTGGCTTGTAAACACTGGCCACAAGTGGACGCATCTCAGACGGAACGAATCGTATTGGTCGAGTTTTTTGCGCTAGTCGAGGCAAAATTTTTTGCGTTAAAATGTATCGCTAGTCGGATTTAACGTTAGACGATGCCATCGTTCATCGAGGATCCACTGTATACAGGAAGGCCCCCATTCATGTGGCTCTATGGTTCGTGAGCCTAAACAATAAGTGAAAATCACCAGTGGGTGGAAATAGAGCCATTTTTTCATCACTGAATGCATCTAAAATACCAGATAACATCTTTACACTATCATATATTAAGTGTTCAATACAGCTAGGCATAAAAATAAATAAAAGAGTAAAATAAATCCTCAGTACATACAATACTTACCTAAACATACGGTGCTGGTCGTCCTTCCCTTAGGCAACTGTTGTATGAAAATGGCAGTAATGACAGAAATGCAGTAAAAATACCAAGCATAATGAACAATGGCTCAGTTGAAAGCCAATGAAAACATGGAGCACCAAAAATAGGGAGCTGTATATCCAGGACTCTCCTGTATTCTTAGTCTATATGCAGTATTTATTTATACAGTACAGTAGAACCTGGCTTTACGGTGTTTTGCCTTATGGCATTCCGCTAATATGGCAATTTCAAATTATGACGAAAACTCCCTATACGGCTCCCCATCTTTCTAATATGGTGCGCCCCACCTAGTTTGTTTACATTATCCATGAGCACATGTCTCTATTATGTCTGGAAATTTTCCAATATTTAAAGTGTTTTAAGGTTATTGCATATTTTATATTCTTCTTCTTTCTTTCTTTCAACAAACTGGCTGTATCACACCAAGGCAGGGTGGCCCAAAAAGAAAAACAAAAGTTTCTCTTTTTAAATTTAGTAATTTATACAGGAGAAGGGGTTACTAGCCCCTTGCTTCCGGTATTTTAGTCGCCTCTTACAACACACATAGCTTACAGAGGAAGAATTCTGTTCCACTTCCCCATGGAGATAAGAGGAAATAAATAAAAACAATAACTAGTAAGAAAATAGAAGAAAGCCCAGAGGGGTGTGTGTATATATATGCTTGTACATGTATGTGTCTTTCAACAAACTGGCCATATCCCACTGAGGCAGGGTGGCTCAAAAAAAAATGAAAGTTTTTCTTTTTAAATTTAGTATTTTATACAGGAGAAGGGGTTACTAGCCCCTTGCTCCCAGCATTTTAGTCACCTCTTACAACACGCATGGCTTATGGAGGAAGAATTCTGTTCCAATTTCCCATGGAGATAAGAGGAAATAAACAAGAACAAGAACTAGTAAGAAAATAGAAGAAAACTCAGTGGGGTGTGTGTGTATATATATGCTTGTACATGTATGTGTAGTGTGACCTAAGTGTAAGTAGTAGTAGCAAGATGTACCTGAAATCTTGCATGTTTATGAGACAGAGAAAAGACACCAGCAATCCTACCATCATGTAAATTAAGTACAGACTTCCATTTTACACTCACTTGGCAAGACAGTAGTACCTCCCTGAGCAGTTGCTGTCTACCAACCTACTACCTAAATATATATACATGTATATATCTTTCTTTCAACAAACCGGCTGTATCCCACCGAGGCAGGGTGGCCCAAAAAGAAAATAAAAGTTTCTCTTTTCAAATTTAGTAATTTATACAGGAGAAGGGGTTACTAGCCCCTTGCGAATTTAGATATGTCAGCAATATTTACACATCGGCGATTTTGCTGACTTTGACTCCCATTTTAGGCCAATTACAGTATTCCAGTCAACCAAATTCTTAGCTATTTCACTAGTATTACTTCTAGTCTATCGATTGAGCACAAGAAATCGCAAGTCAACTGTTTCAACAACAAAATAAAGTGACTGGAAATTGGTAATTTGGCCAATTTAATGCAAAGTTCAAAATTCTCCAATTTCAAAATAGGGTCAAGAATAAACAATGCAGGCATTCCTGGCACTAGACTAACATTTCCTCTGCTCATTAGTTACGTTTTCAGGCTTTACAAATGAATTCCATTGTGATTTTTTATTCACAATGAATTTTTATTCAAACCAAAAAATAGAAGATTTACTGTTATGCAATATTGTAATAATTGTATAAATAACATCAGCACGTTTGTGAACGTATATTAGACCCACCAGCTGGTGTGTATTAGACGCGCGAGGTCATTTGTTTACTCTTGAACATCGGCAAAAATTTAACATTTCTGCTACTTTGAGCTCAGTTTCAAGCCATTTCCCGTATTAAAACCAATCAAAATCATCTCTATTTCTGTTGTATATCTACCATTCTATCAAATGAGACCAAGAAATTGCAAATACAACTATGAAAAACATACAAAAAAACACTGCAAAGTCGCTGTTTTAATCGAAAATTACGGTCTTAGTTTTTTCTCTCATTATGCACTGTGTGCTGCAGGATTTGTTTTATGTGGTGCACGCATACCACATAGATGTATTCTCTCATATCTAGGCCCAAATTTACTGCTCACAGATTATCAGAGTGAGCTGAGCTCATGGCATAGATCTATGGTTTGGACCCTGAACGTAAAGCCGTAGATCTACGGCACGGACCCTGAAAGGGTTAAGAGTAGTATTAAGAGTGTAGCAGTTAAGCAATAGAAAAACGACAAAATGAAATAAACTTCTGACAGCATGAGCCGCTCTTCCTATCTTCTGCAAGGTACATGTATGTAAATGGTGTACGTACACCATTCCATTTGTACATTATGGTTTTCTTATGAAAGAAGTGATCTAATGCAGTTTGCCTCACAAACTCCATATTCTCTTATACTAACACGTCTGAAGGAGGAAAGAATGGGCAGATGTTTTCATAGCTTGAGCGAGAATGCCTGCTACTGCTGTCCTCCCCCGTCACCACATACGTAATGACATACATATTTTATTCATTCTAGAGTGTATATCAGGTTTTTATGTTATTTATATTGTTTATTATGTCATATTAGATGTATTGTGATAGATAAATAAGCCGTAGAGTTGATAATAGCATCATATTGAAGTACTATTTTGTCATGCCTCCTGACAGCAGGAACAGATTAATTGGATTTAAATTATTTCTTATGGGAAATTTTGCTTCGACTTTATGACATTTCGACTTTAATCCTAGCTCCTGGAATGGCATAAGGATGACACTCAGGGTTCCACTGTACCATTCTCCTATCCCTGTCTTACGGCTTATATTAGAGAAAACGGAGTATAGCTCAGTCACCCATCATCCACACTACTGCCCATACTGGACCACCAATACTGTCTCCCATACTGGGCCACCAACACTGCCTCCCACACTGGGGCACCAACACTGCCACCCACACTAGGTTACCAACACTGCCTTCCACACTGGGCCACCAACACTGCCACCCACACTGGGCCACCAACACTGCCATTCACACTGCCTCCCACACAGGGCCACCAACACTGCCATCCACACTGCCTCCCACACAGGGCCACCAACACTGCACCACCAACACTGGACCATCAACACTGGGCCACCAACATTGGGCCACCAACACTGCCACCCACATGGTCACCATCACACCAGCTCATTGCTTGCAGTCTCCATCCCTACACCCCTCCAGAACTCAGCATCATAGGTATGTATATAAACGAAAAACGAGTGATATATAGTGTTTGCTACTATCCACAGTTTTCAGTATCCGCAGTAGGGCTTGGACCATATCCCCCACATATATGGGGGTCCTACTGTATTCTTATTTGTGCATCCATTATACTGTACTTATATATTAAACATATTAACACAGTACACTTATCATATTTTCCAGTAAAAGTAGGCCATAGACATGAATGCATGGTATCACTATGGTTGTGGTTGGAAGAGGTGTGGAATTAAAATGTGCGGAATGTAATACAAAATGAGAATTATCATGGTTACTTCTTACTGATGACACTGCTTTGGGGACATTCTGAAGAGAAGTTGCAAAGGTTAGTGGACGAATTTGGGAGGGTGTGTAAAGGCAGGAAGTTGACAGTGAACATAGGAAAGAGCAAGGTGATAAGGGTAACAAATGAGTTAGGTAATGAAAGATTGGATATCAGATTGGAGGGAGGGAGTATGGAAGTAGTGAATGTGTTCAGATATTTGGAAGTGGACTTGTCAGTGGATGGGTGTATGAAAGATGAGGCGAATCATAGAACTGATGAAAGGAAAAAAGTGGGTGGTTCCTTGAGGCACCTGTGGAGACAAAGAATGTCATCCATGAAGGCAGAGACGGGAATGTATGAGAGTATGTATAGTGGTACTAACACTGTCATGTGAGTGTGAATGTTGCGGTGAGGAGGAGGTTGGAGGCAGTGGAGATGTCACGTCTGGAGTGCAAAGTGGGGTGTAAATATTATGTAAAGAATTTGTAGTTTGGAGATTTGGAGGAGGTGCAGAGTTACTGAGAATATTATCCAGAGGGCTGAGGAGGGGTTGTTGAGGTGGTTTGGACTTTAGAGAGGCTGGAGCAAAATAGGATGACGTGGAGAATGTATAAATCTGTAGTGCAGGGAAGGCAAGGTAGGGGTTGCCCTTAGAAAGGAAGGAGGGAGGGGGTAAAGGAGGTTTTGTGTGCAAGGGGCTTGAACATCCAGCAGGCATGTGTGAGAGTGTTAGATAGGAGTGAGGTGAGGCAAATGGTTTTTGGGACTTGATGAGCTGTTGGAGTGTGAGCAGGGTAATATTTCGTGAAGGGGTTCAGGGAAACTTGTTAGCCAGACTTGAGTTCTGTATGTGGGAAGTACAATGCATGCACCATAAAGGAAGGGTTTGGGTAATTTGCTGTTTAGAGTGACATTTAAACTGTATGTCTATCGTGCTAAAAAAACATTTATGCATACATATATATTATTTGTTTTTTTTACTTATTTATTTATTTAGCATACATAAAGTATTTATATAGATGTTGATACCTACTGTATATATACTGTATTTTCAGACCCTGCACGTGTGACATATACACCAACTGTACAGTACCTTCCCTTCAGACAACAGGGTATTATTAAGTGCTTTATCAAGAGCAACCCTCCCATACAGTTTGTTACTTGGATCAAGGACAAGCGCCTCTTTGATGTGGAAAATGAAAGTACCGTTGTCAAGCTAAATAATGGCTCGCTACTTATAACTAAGGTTTGTGTACTATAGCCAGTTTTTGAACATGCAAACCACTTTAATTTAAACTGCATCATCTTGCATTATATTTACTTTAAAAATTATCATTTTAAAAGTTTGACTAATTCTTTCTTAATTTTGCTTACCTCTCTGTAATGTGTACATTCATTACAGCCTTGCTTATTTTTTTTTTTTGTATGTATTTATTTATTTCCTCTTTTACTCTTTCAGTTTTACTTTTAAGTATTTTTTGTACTACTAATTGATGCTTTTATTAGCATTTCCTTTAATGTATATATATTTATTTTATTATGAGTGCAGTCTGATAATTACAGTGGAACTTTAGTTTAATTATTAATAGGGAGAAAGGGTGTCAGAGCAGATTGTCCATTTAATCAGAATAATGAAATTGGTTTTCTTTGATCTTAACAATAAGAGACATTTCTGGACATAATGTACTGTTTTGTACACACTATTAGTAACAGACAATTCTCTAAACAGCAGACATTGTGCACTGAATCTGGACACTTCTCAGCACAGTCAGAATAACAGACAGAATAACCAGTGAACTTTGTTCATTAGTTCTAGGTACTACCAGACAGAGTATCATTCACACATTTTAATACTGTAGAATATTTGAAAATAACAGAGTTCAAATTACTCGACATGTGTAGAACATTAGAGTACAGTAATTTTGCTTACCTTTTGTGATGGCTAGATACACTAAATCCATGATATTAAGAGGAGACTAAGAATAACTTATTCTGAGACAGAGAAACTGTGAAGCTCCACTGGTGTACTTGTAAGTGGTTGGAGAGATATAAATGTTTGAGGAGATGTAAATGTTTGAGGAGATGTAGATAGTTGGGAAAACATAAATAGTTGAGGAGACGTGTATTTTTGAGGAGACATAAATAGTTGAGATGTAAATAGTTAAGGAGACAAATGGTTGAGGAGATGTAAATGGTTGGGGAGATGTAGATGGTTTGGGAGACCTAACAATGAAGAACAGGTTTAAAGAATGTCTACAACTACAGTTGTTTTCCACGTTGATATATACTCCCAAATGATAAATTCTCAAGGTAGTAAGTTGGTAGACAGCAACCACCCAGGAAAGTACTACCGTCCTGCCAGATGACTGTGAAACAGAAACCTTTAACTGTTTTGCATGATGGTAGGATTGCTGGTGTCTTTTTCTGTCTCATAAACACGCTAGATAACAGGGATATCTTGCTACTCCTACTTACACTTTGGTCACACTTCACAGACACGCACATGCATATATATATACATACATCTAGGTTTTTCCCCTTTTTCTAAATAGCTCTTGTTCTTCTTTATTTCTTCTATTGTCCATGGGAAGTGGAAAAGAATCTTTCCTCCGTAAGCCATGCGTGTCGTATGAGACGACTAAAATGCCGGGAGCAATGGGCTAGTAACCCCTTCTCCTGTAGACATTTACTAAAAAAGAGAAGAAGAAAAATTTTATAAAACTGGGATGCTTGAATGTGCGTGGATGTATTGCGGATGACAAGAAACAGATGATTGCTGATGTTATGAATGAAAAGAAGTTGGATGTCCTGGCCCTAAGCGAAACAAAGCTGAAGGGGGTAGGGGAGTTTCGGTGGGGGGTAATAAATGGGATTAAATCTGGAGTATCTGAGAGAGTTAGAGCAAAGGAAGGGGTAGCAGTAATGTTGAAGGATCAGTTATGGAAGGAGAAAAGAGAATATGAATGTGTAAATTCAAGAATTATGTGGATTAAAGTAAAGGTTGGATGTGAAAAGTGGGTCATAATAAGCGTGTATGCACCTGGAGAAGAGAGGAATGTAGAGGAGAGAGAGAGATTTTGGGAGATGTTAAGTGAATGTATAGGAGCCTTTGAACCAAGTGAGAGAGTAATTGTGGTAGGGGACCTGAATGCTAAAGTAGGAGAAACTTTTAGAGAGGGTGTGGTAGGTAAGTTTGGGGTGCCAGGTGTAAATGATAATGGGAGCCCTTTGATTGAACTTTGTATAGAAAGGGGTTTAGTTATAGGTAATACATATTTTAAGAAAAAGAGGATAAATAAGTATACAAGATATGATGTAGGGCGAAATGACAGTAGTTTTTTGGATTATGTATTGGTAGATAAAAGACTGTTGAGTAGACTTCAAGATGTACATGTTTATAGAGGGGCCACAGATATATCAGATCACTTTCTAGTTGTAGCTACACTGAGAGTAAAAGGTAGATGGGATACAAGGAGAATAGAAGCATCAGGGAAGAGAGAGGTGAAGGTTTATAAACTAAAAGAGGAGGCAGTTAGGGTAAGATTTAAACAGCTATTGGAGGATAGATGGGCTAATGAGAGCATAGGCAATGGGGTCGAGGAGGTATGGGGTAGGTTTAAAAATGTAGTGTTAGAGTGTTCAACAGATGTTTGTGGTTACAGGAAAGTGGGTGCGGGAGGGAAGAGGAGCGATTGGTGGAATGATGATGTAAAGAGGGAGAAAAAGTTAGCATATGAGAAGTTTTTACAAAGTAGAAGTGATGCAAGGAGGGAAGAGTATATGGAGAAAAAGAGAGAGGTTAAGAGAGTGGTGAAGCAATGTAAAAAGAGAGCAAATGAGAGAGTGGGTGAGATGTTATCAACAAATTTTGTTGAAAATGAGGAAAAAGTTTTGGAGTGAGATTAACAAGTTAAGGAAGCCAAGAGAACAAATGGATTTGTCAGTTAAAAATAGAAGAGGAGAGTTATTAAATGGAGAGTTAGAGGTACAGGGAAGATGGAGGGAATATTTTGAGGAATTGTTAAATGTTGATGAAGATAGGGAAGCTGTGATTTCGTGTATAGGGCAAGGAGGAATAACATCTTGTAGGAGTGAGGAAGAGCCAGTTGTGAGTGTGGGGGAAGTTCGTGAGGCAGTAGGTAAAATGAAAGGGGGTAAGGCAGCCAGGATTGATGGGATAAAGATAGAAATGTTAAAAGCAGGTGGGGATATAGTTTTGGAGTGGTTGGTGCAATTATTTAATAAATGTATGGAAGAGGGTAAGGTACCTAGGGATTGGCAGAGAGCATGCATAGTTCCTTTGTATAAAGGCAAAGGGGACAAAAGAGAGTGCAAAAATTATAGGGGGATAAGTCTGTTGAGTATACCTGGTAAAGTGTATGGTAGAGTTATTATTGAAAGAATTAAGAGTAAGACGGAGAATAGGATAGCAGATGAACAAGGAGGCTTTAGGAAAGGTAGGGGGTGTGTGGACCAGGTGTTTACAGTGAAACATATAAGTGAACAGTATTTAGATAAGGCTAAAGAGGTCTTTGTGGCATTTATGGATTTGGAAAAGGCGTATGACAGGGTGGATAGGGGGGCAATGTGGCAGATGTTGCAAGTGTATGGTGTAGGAGGTAGGTTACTGAAAGCAGTGAAGAGTTTTTACGAGGATAGTGAGGCTCAAATTAGAGTATGTAGGAAAGAGGGAAATTATTTCCCAGTAAAAGTAGGCCTTAGACAAGGATGTGTGATGTCACCATGGTTGTTTAATATATTTATAGATGGGGTTGTAAGAGAAGTAAATGCGAGGGTCTTGGCAAAAGGCGTGGAGTTAAAAGATAAAGAATCACACATATAGTGGGAGTTGTCACAGTTGCTCTTTGCTGATGACACTGTGCTCTTGGGAGATTCTGAAGAGAAGTTGCAGAGATTGGTGGATGAATTTGGTAGGGTGTGCAAAAGAAGAAAATTAAAAGTGAATATAGGAAAGAGTAAGGTTATGAGGATAACAAAAAGATTAGGTGATGAAAGATTGGATATCAGATTGGAGGGAGAGTGTGGAGGAGGTGAATGTATTCAGATATTTGGGAGTGGACGTGTCAGCAGATGGGTCTATGAAAGATGAGGTGAATCATAGAATTGATGAGGGGAAAAGGGTGAGTGGTGCACTCAGGAGTCTGTGGAGACAAAGAACTTTGTCCTTGGAGGCAAAGAGGGGAATGTATGAGAGTATAGTTTTACTAACGCTCTTATATGGGTGTGAAGCATGGGTGATGAATGTTGCAGCGAGGAGAAGGCTGGAGGCAGTGGAGATGTCATGTCTGAGGGCAATGTGTGGTGTGAATATAATGCAGAGAATTCGTAGTTTGGAAGTTAGGAGGAGGTGCGGGATTACCAAAACTGTTGTCCAGAGGGCTGAGGAAGGGTTGTTGAGGTGGTTCGGACATGTAGAGAGAATGGAGCGAAACAGAATGACTTCAAGAGTGTATCAGTCTGTAGTGGAAGGAAGGCGGGGTAGGGGTCGGCCTAGGATAGGTTGGAGAGAGGGTGTAAAGGAGGTTTTGTGTGCGAGGGGCTTGGACTTCCAGCAGGCATGCGTGAGCGTGTTTGATAGGAGTGAATGGAGACAAATGGTTTTTAATACTTGACGTGCTGTTGGAGTGTGAGCAAAGTAACATTCAGGGAAACCGGCAGGCCGGACTTGAGTCCTGGAGATGGGAAGTACAATGCCTGCACTCTGAAAGAGGGGTGTTAATGTTGCAGTTTAAAAACTGTAGTGTAAAGCACCCTTCAGGCAAGACAGTGATGGAGTGAATGATGATGAAAGTTTTTCTTTTTCGGGCCACCCTGCCTTGGTGGGAATCGGCCAGTGTGATAATAATAAAAAAAAAATAAATATAAAAAATTTTACAAATTTAAATAATGGCTCTGCATTTCTCTTATCTGGAGGTCAGTGTACCTGATGAGAGGAGAATCACATGTCATCCTGCTGACAGTTTTGATATCCTCTCAGTCTTCTTCAATTTGTCATCACTATCTTGCTGCTTTTTTTTTTTTTTTTAAACATGCTGGCCATCTCCCACTGAGGCAGGGTAATTCGAAAAAGAAACACTTTCACGATCATTCACACTATCACTATCTTGCCAGAGGAATGCAGATACAACAGTGTAGATGTCACTAAACAGCAAATATCAGCAGAAGAGCCTGGTCTATGGCTGGGCTCTGAGAGTAGAAAGACTCACAAAACTCATCAAAGGTTTA